TTTTGGGGTTAACGTCGTTATAAGAACCTGTGAAGGTTTTTTTGTATTGTCGCTGTTATTTTTCTGATGTCTATTGTATTGACGTCTTTGTTTACGTTGTTTTACGTCACTCGTGTGTAGTTCAAAGGTTTTATACACCGAGATGAGACTGTCCTTCAACGATTAATTTAACGCGCGATGAAACGCACGAACTCGATAGAATGGATCTTTTCATTACTTTGTAAAATCAAAACGCCGTTGACTTCTCAATTTTTACCTACATCTTATTGAAAATGACTTATAAATAAATCTTTGTATAACTTTCCAGCCTCGTGGCACTTTTCGTTTTCAAAATACTAAAGCATTTTGATTTTCCGAATTTTTTAAGTGCGTAACATCGAGAGGCCGCGATATCTGATGTCTTCTTCTTGAAATAAACTGGCAAAAAAAGGGTTTACATATCAGTTATTCCTCTTGCTGCCTTCAACGTCTGGTGCAATTGTAGCCTGATTCTCAGACGTCCGAGGTCGTTCGCGGTCCCTTTCGCAGGGAGGGAAGCGAAAGGGACCGCGAACGACCTCGGACGTCTGAGAATCAGGCTAGTGCAATTGACGACCGCACTATGGAACGCACGTACACAATTAAATACAACGCACGTGATCTGTAAAGTCCATTTCGGAAAAAAGATCCATCGAGTCTGCAGCCAGGGGTGATTGGCGATAAGGAACAAGTAATTGCTTGATTTTTTCGCATGCACATCGGGATGGGAGGGCACAATCTTTTTTCTGCGAGGCACAGGCTTCCAGACAACGACAACCAATACATCCCTTTGGTTGTTGGGGGGGGGGGAGGTGGGGGTGGGGGGACGGAGTGCAGTGAAACATAAAAATTCGGGGATCATCAAGGGAGTTGATCAGGTCAGTTGGCCACAGGAAGAGATTCACAGGCTGGTGTTGCAAGCGTTAGCCCATCGTCAGCCTTCTTACCCTCTCGGATCCTTCTTGTACTCAGTCTAGGAAGCTTAGTGTAGCCTTTTGTTGGCTGTTTTGCAGACATCATGAATCATAAGCCGCGTCTTGCATGGGAGCTGTACCTCAAGATGGAGACATCTGGTGAATCATTCAGTTTGTTGCAGCTTATTGCTAACGACTGCTACAAGGTAGGTAGGCTCTTTTTGGACGAGCACTGGTAACAACCTTGGTATTCTAATGCGCCTTTTTAGCGAGCTGACAACCACTTCCGTGAAAACGCCGATACGAACTCGCGTTTTGTGGTGGGTTTTCTATCCAGGCAGCCATTGTTTAATTCGTTGACAGCAGCTCGGCTATAGGGCCGGAAAATACCAAATGAAGTATTATATAGGTTCTTGATTTAAAGAGCTTTTCAAGGGTCTGTCAGTGAAGAAGACAATTCGATGAACAAGTCATAACCCAAAGGAGTGCATTTGCTGGTTTGGAAAGCGGGAAGTCATATTCCAAGTGGCAGAAGTCTTTATTCTTAACCAACCACAGCTTAGTGGAGAAAAACTCCACCAACTGCAAAACCTTATTAATCAGTCGAAACTTGTCGTATTTTACAGATGGGTCAGTTCTATTATGCTGCGAAAGCGTTTGACGTGCTGGAGAGACTGGATCCTAATCCAGAGTATTGGGAAGGAAAAAGAGGAGCTTGTGTTGGAATATTTCAGCAGATCATTGCAGGCCACGAACCAAGGTAAGACACCCAGTTTAAGCTGACTTGACCCTCTTCTTCTATAAAGAAGCTGAGGTAAAAAGTTAAAGAGTCTTCTAAATTTTACGTCTGTAGCTCGAAATAGTCTTCATCGACTAGCCCTAATACTTACTCCTAAATATATATCCAGCCGATTTTTTGAAAACCAACCTAACGAAATTTGCAGTTGAGTGAAAAGGCGTCGAAATCTGCTTGTTTTGACGTATCTCTCACGTTAAACTTACGCAAAGCACACTAGCACAGTGATGGAGCAAAAGCGTCTTGATCTTCGATGGTCTTCGATCGTTGTCGCCCGCACTCTGTAACCTTTGGTTGTTAGTAGTTATAATGGCTACTTTGGAGATTGGCGGTAACGTTTAAAAAAATCAGGCTAGATATACTATATACTCTGGGTGGTGTTTTATTGTCCCACTTCCATAGTTTCATTCGGAATACCTGAATTCGTTCATCTTTGGTATTTGAAATCTTATTGGTTTTCGTTACCTTTTCATTTCCTCTTAATTGCAGGGAGACGTTACGCGACGTTCTGCAGATCCTTCGTAACACAGGAAATCCTCAAGTAGAATACATCATCCGTACAATGAAGAAATGGGCCAAAGAAAATAGAATACCGGTGTCATAATTTTACTTTCCTCCCTCCCCCGAACATTACAATAAGAACGAAAAAACACTTGTAAATTTTGATAGCATAACATTGGAAGCTTTGTTTTTTACTCCATTGTGCTGCTGCATTGTCAGTTTGTAAATGTTGTTAGAGTGAGGGCTCTTTCGTTCGATGCTCCATTGTTATTAGAAGTTCTCATTGATAAGTTCCTAAATCCTCAGTGTATTCTTAAAATGAGTGCCCTTGCCATCTATGTAACATTTTTTTAAATAATGTTAACAAAGATGCTGTATACTAGTCATAATTTATTGCGCTCAAGAGGCTGGACGACTTCCGATTGTGTAGACAACCGTATACAGCTCTATTTTGCATATATGCTTCTGATATTATTTATAAAAGGCAAAACGCATGAAATGTAAACAGACCAATATTGTCTTGATGTAACTGTGAAACTGTAGAAAGAGGTTGGAAATCAGAGCAGTTTTTTCGTAGACCTTGCTGAGGCCAAACTAGCAAATGTTTGGAGCTCTATTTGACCAAAGTCGTTTAAATAAATATTGTGATGATCTACCCATTCTGATAAGTAAATATTAAACGATGTATGTTAAAAAAACTTTGATGTCACAATTGTCATTATTGCAATAATCGCTGTCTTATCAGAGAAGACCACAAAGCGAACAACTGGGTCACACCCAGTAATCGTTTGCGTCGAAGAAGAAGTGATGCTCCGCGCCTCTGGCCTGCTTGGAGACGTCTTACATTTCCTTTTCTTTCCTTTCCGCGTAAAAAGGTTATCTCTCTTCCTCAGAGGCCTCTCTGTACCATTGGAAACTGGCGAGAAGACAATGCGGGCGCGGGGGGGGTGGGGGTGAAGCGCGCACGCTGATTCTGCGGTCGCGACGCCACGACTGGTTGCCCTGTGAAATGAGGGGAAGCCGTTGATGGCTCGCGAAATGTCGGCTGGTTTCTCAGGCTACGCAGAGTTGCGACAGCCAGAAATCCGTTGTGTTCGCAGGCTACCCCTACGGAGGATAGAGCCCTCTTTTGAATTCGCTCGGAAGGTAAGAAGTTCTTGTAAGTTCTTGCAGTCGAAAACTACCGTAAAATTCCGAAAATAAGCCCCGGGGCTTATATTTTTTTTTGACGGGCTTATTTTTGGACGGGCCTATATTCGGAGGGGCTTATATATGGAAGGAAATTTGCGTTTCAAAATCGATTGGGCTTGCCTTATAGTTGGAAGGAAATTGACCGTTTTTGCTTTATTTTAGTTTGTATTTGAGGGCAATTTCCAAGTACAAGCCCCCCGGAAGGCTTATATTCGGAGGGGCGATTTAACGGAGGGTTTTTTGCGTTACGAGTTTAGGGGTCTTGTATTTGGTGAGGCTTATACATGGAGGGGCTTATTTTCGGAATTTTACGGTATTAAATTGAACCCGTCATACAGCTATACAATGGAATTAAGAGATGAGGATAAGCGAGGGAGGGGTGGGAGAAAGAGGTTGGTGGACTGGAATTGGTGGCACTGACGGTTTCTATGTTTGGTGCTCACTTGCATTTAGTTTGACTGGAGCTGAGCTTTTTTTCTGTACAACCTGCAAAAGGCTACCCTATAAATGGTTTCATCTTCAACCTCCTTTTCAGAGTACAGTCAAACCTCTTTAATACCTACACCAAAGGGACAGAACCAAGTGTCTGCTTTACAGAGGTGTCCGTATTATAGAGGTAGGGAATGTATGATTTTTGGCATTTCTGGGACCAAAGGAACTGTCCGTAATAGAGAGGTGTCCGTAAGGATAGGTTAGACCAGGAGCCCTGGGCTCCTGGTTAGACTGTATACCCTAAAATTCCGAAAATAAGCCCCTCCATGTATAAGCCCCTCCAAATATGAGCCCCCCAAAACGGTAACGCAAAAAACCCTCCGTTAAATCGCCCCTCCAAATATAAGCTCCCCGGGGGCTACGTAGTACTTGGAAAATTGCCTCAAATACACGGTAAAACAAAGCGAAAACGGTAAATTTACTTCCAACTATAAGGCTAGCCCAATCGATTGTGAAACGCAAATTTCCCTCCGTAGATAAGCTCCTCCGAATATAAGCTCCTACAAAAATAAGCCTCTCAAAAAGGCCCTTTGAAAAATATAAGCCCCGGGGCTTATTTTCGGAATTTTACGGCATCTTTCCCTGAAATTTTGGTAAAGAAAACAGCAAAGGAAAATGCTACTCCAGTTTTTCCAATATCCTCTTTCTCCCCCTCTTGGGGCGGGAATTAAGAAGAAAAACGCCCGGAACGAACCTGGCAAGCGGATTGAAACTGACACTTGATCTCATAACACAAGGGGTGGTTGCTATACTACATAATGTTCTACTGTAACTTTGTTGTTTCAGTTCGTCGAAGCAGCCTGAGATCATGCCTTCTTCCTATTATCCCTTTATGTCTCTCTCGCCTCGCCCCCTCGTAAAACAAAAAAACGAAACAAAAAAAAACAAAAAAACGCCTGATCTCGGCTGACCTCAGGGGTCGTCGCGGCGAGGAAATGCAATTTCGATGGAGGTTTACACAGCGTCCCTACCAGTCCGCTGTGTTACCGCGTGTTCAATGTCCTTTTTTTCGCGGTTTTTCGAACAGCAAGGCCATATTTCTGAGGTTCAGAACCTCGTTTTTCCTCTTATTTTCTGTCGTACAGACTATGGCCCACAACTACGTTGTAACAGCACATAAACCAACCGCCGTTAATGCAGCTGTGGTAGGTAATTTTACGGCTGCGGATGACTTGAATTTAATCATAGCCAAAAACACTCGTCTTGAAATCCATGTTGTCACCCCAGAGGGTCTGCGACCTCATCTCGATATCGGGATTTATGGACGAATTTCTGTTATGGAGCTTTTTAGACCAGCGGTAAGTTTCACTGTTTTGCTTTATTACGTCTGTGTTCTTATGCCTGTTTGTTGGTTTTGATTTGTCAGTTAGGTGGTTGACGCATATTAATCAGTTGCTTAATCCTTTCCACTCTGTTTTGCTAAAAACAAAACGAAAAACAAGGCATGTGCTGAACACTTAAATGCGATGAATCATTTGCTACAGTCTAGTACTGTGTTTAAAATCCACCCAAATGCAGAAATACTACATCCTGCATATTAATCAGTTGGTTGATCCTTAGGAGAAATATTAGAATAATTATATATAGATTTTTATGTATTACTTTGTTTTTCTTGGTTTTATTTTTGTTTATTTGTGTGTGAGGGGTGTTATTGTTTTTGGTGGGGTTGTGAGGGGGGGGGGGGGGGGGGGGGGGGGGGGGGGGGGGGGCGGGGGGGGGGGGGGGGGGGCGGGGGGGGGGGGGCGGCCTTGGCATGTGCTGAACACTTAAATATGATGAATCATTTGCTACAGTCTAGTACTGTGTTTAAAATCCACCCAAATGCAAAAATACTGCATCCTGCACATTTGAAAATACTGCATTGCTGGAATTCGCCAACAAATGGGTGTTAAATTGTCCAAATCTCCACCATGCAGTAGAACACCAGTAACTTCAACTTTCATGAGATAAAATTAATTCAAGGCAGTAATGACTGGTAAGGAATTTTGAGTAGGCAGTATTTAGGCAATGCTGTGCACCTTTGTGAAGTTCCGAAAAAAAAAAGCCATTGTTCCTTTTGGAACTAGGAGTAATCAGAGCTTAGAAGAGTGCGTTTGATATGTTTGTAAGAAGTACAGGTAGCAGTTGAGGAGAAAGGGTGAATGGTTATTGCAATAGCTTAAGCCCGGTTTCCAAATGAACGCTACGATCGCTGTGATCGCTGCAATGGCTGAGAAAAAAAAAATTCAGCGATCATATGGAAACCACTCTCCAGCTATCTCAGCGACAACGATTGCTGAGATAGATTTTTTAATATCTCAGTGATTGTTGTCGCTGAGATATATAAAGCTAAGATACCTTCAAATGAACGTATCCTTGTCTTTCCTGGCCGGTTTAAGTGGCATTTTGTTGAGTTTTGCAATTGTAGGTACTATCTACTAAAGAAGAATTAAAGGCTGGCTACAAAACAAACTGACCATCTCTAAGCGCCTTCACACGAAGCGCTATAAATTCGAGAATAATCGACGAATCCGCTCCAAATTGCCATCGGCTAATCTGCAGGTAACGTGTGCTCCTTGCTTCTTGCTCGCTGGCTCCACAAAACCCATCGCAACTGCACAATAATTGCTCGCTCATCAACAACCACTGTTGACCTTTACGCTTCGATATGACCGCAAACTACCAGGTATAATACGCGAAGTGAATATTCAAGCTTAGCAACCACGTTCGCGCAATAAAAGACAAGGATACGTTCAGTTGAAGGTATCTTAGCTTTGAAAACAATATAAAACTGAAAACCTGATAAAATCAAGTACCCTCAAAGCTGCTGAGTAGCGTAATTAAACAGGTACACTTATAATTATATAACATTCAGTGACACATACTACGTCTGGGCTGCCTGTGGTTTCATATGATCGCTAAGATCGCTGCAATCGCTGAATTTTTTTTTTCTCAGCGATCGCAGTGATCACAGCAATGGTAGCGATCATATGGAAAGCTGGCTTTAATTTGATCATGGCTTATTATAAACGTTAGGATTGCTTACAGCGAAACCTCTATTTAAACTGTGTATCATTATGAAAAAGCCTTGAAGGCTGGTGATATCGTATGGTCCGTCTCAATAAGTGCAGTAGTTTGGTCAAGTGTGTTGATTTCAGTGACTTGAGTGGAGTTACTGTGGGCTGTTTATAAGTTTTTCTGAATAACATAGACCTAAAATGTTCGTTTGTCCGGTGCCAAAAGTATCACAAGTCATGTTGAAACGGCGCCGCTGAGCTTCACATCCCAGTAGATTTACTTTGTGGCACAACGGCCGCCGAGTTACACAACTCTGTAGACTTACTTTGTGGCACAATGGCTGCAGAGCTACACAACTTGGTAGATTTAGTTTGTGGCACAATGGCCGTCGAAAACTCTTGAAAGATGAATGTTTTGAAAGATTCAGCAAACACAGATCGATAGTAGACCTTCAGCAAACTCTTGAAATATGTACGCTTTACAAAGATTCAGCAAACCTTTAAAAGATGAACGCTTTATTAAGACAATAAAAGACCTCAGCAAAGGCTTTAGGATGCACGAATCACCACGTGAGTTAGTTCATTAAAGTGAGGCAAAACGTAAGCAAGCGCCTCAAAGCGAGGCAAATGTGTGTTGACGACAACAAATGCAATCTCGAAAAAAACCTCCTTTATTAATTACACAGGGAACCCAATAATGCACAGAACACCCAACACAAATTAGGGGTTGCGTTCTCGTACCTCAAACGCAAATATGAGCATTCTTTGGAGGTTTCTACTTTTGGGAATTTAGCAGCAAAAAAGTAAACAATAACAGCTACAGCAGAGATAGTGACACAGGGTATTATAAGTATGTATGTCATAATGCGGTAGAGGCATTTGTCCACTTTTCCAGTGTCACATTTTTTGACAAGCTTATATTTTTTGTGTTTGAGAGCTCATTTTGGTATTAAAATGTAATTAAGTAGTGGCCAGGGGATATCATTATTTTACTAGACCCTCACCAGCTGTTGGTGTTTTCCTGTTTGCAGAATGAACCTCAAGATCTGTTATTTATTCTGACAGCACGGTATAGGGTGTTTATACTTAGTTACAAGCCAGAAACTGGTGACATTGTGACAAGGGCTTGTGGAGATGTCCAGGTATGTATATTGCAAAGGTCTAGCTGTTTGCTGAGGAAAGTTAGTACCTTTATTTCTCAATTTATTGGTATTGGTCCTCAGGGTTTGAGCCAGGCCGCGCCATCGCGCCAATCCCGCACTACAATTGAAATTGTCCCTTAAAGAAACGGCAAAGGGGACAATTTGTCCCTTCAAAATATAGGGAAACAACTCGAAAGGAAGCACACACGATCGAAGAGATTTAATTCAGTACAGAAATTGTAAGCTAAAACCGAACGTGGAAAGTATATTTTATCGCACGTTTAAAGTTCATTCTAAAGTCACGTTTCAGTCACGCTCTACTGAACACGTACATCTCATGCTCAACCAAGCATGGTAAACACATCTGGTAATCTTTAACACGTCACATTGAAAACGTGTTCGAACATTAGAAAGCTTTTTCGCTCCAAATCGAAGCCAGAGTGAATCAGAGAAAATGATACAGAAGAAGAACAGTGTATTAATCAGGAAGAAACAGATGAGGATCGAAGGAAACCAAAAAAAATCACGAACTTTCCAGAAAAATTGGTTGCGAGATCACACATAGTTGCCATATGAAAAGGTGGGGTACGTCTACCAGTAATTTATAAAGGAATTGAAGTTTACAAGGGGATGTGGGGACGAGATTCTGCTGTGAAATGTTTTGAAGTATAAAACATAGTCATTGATCCTCTGTTTAAATATGATGAGAAAAAAAAAGTCTTGACACCTATAACTTAACTTTTCTTGTTTGTATCACTTTTTTTTGTATTACAAGGATCAGGTAAAAAAAAAAAAATTTTGTTGGCTTGCCTGTATGAATGTAAAAAAAAATGTTGAATAAAAATTAATTTGTCTGTCCCCCTAAAAATAAAAATGTCCCCCAAAATTTTAGCCAAGAGGACAAATTGTCCCCCTGTGATCAAATCCTAGCTCAAACCCTGCGGTCCTGTAGTGTGTTAGGACACAAAGTCTGACACAAAGTCAAAGATTGCCAACATGCTTTTTACTCAGTCCTCTCAGCCTAGCTTGCAATTACTAGTTGAACATTTTACACCAGCACCTGGTACATTACAGGTCTGCCCCAGGTATCGAACCTTCAACCTCCTGCTCTGCTGTCAAAGTGTTCTACAACTGAGCTTATCCTGCTGCAGTAATAGTTGAGGGGCTAGCATGTTTAAATAGCATCATTAATATTTTATCCATTCATATAGATGAGAAGTGAAACTAACCAGATTTGCAATTAAAGATCATCACACCCCCTATTTTTTTTCAAAAGTCACAACAAAATAGAAAATATTAAAATTTCTACTATTAAACTCAGCCCATAAGCTTCGTTTTACTTGCATGAACAATATGTTAGTTTTCTTGTTGCTTTACCTTTGTGATTATGGAAATTGTCGTAATTATTTACTCACACAACAGTCTTGGTGCTCTTTTATTTTATCCATCTGTAAACTCATGCTAGTGATGATTACCAGTATATCCATGGTGCTTAATATTTAAAATCATTTATGTTATACACCCTACATTCTGTACTTTTCCAACTTGCACTGTAATCATGATAATTATTATTTACAGCAGTATTTATTGTTAATTTATAGTGTAGTATTTCTTCTTGTATTTCTTCTGTATTTAAATCAGGATCGGATCGGCAGACCATCTGACACAGGGTTGATAGGGATCATAGACCCACAGTGCCGTATGATTGGATTGCGACTCTATGATGGACTCTTTAAAGTGATTCCCTTGGAACTAGACTCCAACAAAGAACTCAAGGCTTTTAATATCAGGTAAGGCTAGCCTGCCATTTTCTCACAGAAGTGCATAAAGTTAAAAAAAAAAGGTTGTGGAAGTGCACTTAGCTTAGTCAGCTAGTTATGGGCACTCCACTCAAATATTTAGAAATTTAAAATAATCCAAAATAATAGACCATAACAGGTTTAAAAACTCCAACTGGCAGAAGACAACCAGTTGGTTATTTACAAGCATAGCCAAGGATTTGAACTGGGGATGATCGAGAACAAATCCGTCAAGTGGCCAGAGTGGGTGACTCAAACTGGGGACTGCCAGATTGTGATTCCAACATGCTGGCCACTCATCCACGTTGCCCTCTCATTGCATTACAATAACGTTAGTGTTCCAGTACAATATATTCTCTTTTGCATTTGATTTATATTTAGACTCGAAGAGCTACATGTGATCGACATTGCATTTCTTCATGGCTGTCAAGTCCCCACCATTGTTTTTATTTACCAGGTATCTTTCCGATGTTAACTCATTTAGAAAAGCTGGCTTTTTGTTATTATTACAGTTTTTGTCTCAAAGTATTCTGTAACTGTAACAATGTGGTGCGATTCAATTTATATCAGGATCCTCATGGTCGCCATGTCAAAACATATGAGATAGTGCTGCGAGATAAAGAGTTTAATAAAGGTCCCTGGAAGCAGGACAATGTAGAAGTGGAAGCATCAAGAGTAATCGCCGGTAAAATAATATTCTGCTTTGGTGTCTTTGATGTGTAGTAATACTGTTTTTTGGAACAATAGTGTTATTGAGATTAACATTTGAAAGTCAGTTTTCTGGTGAGCACTTGAGATGTTGCCTTATTTGGAAGCTCTTTATCTTTGAAAAATGAGGTAACAAGGTTGCCTGCTTGGCATTTTGGAATAAAATATGTTAGTCTTGTGCGTTGGTCCAGATCGTCTGTTATACCCTGCCCGACATTCTGTTAACAACTATTGTTACTTTTTCTTGTAATGTTTAAATAATGCCCGTCCGCTTTTGTAATAATCGCATAATCACTAATCGACTTCATCAATCTTATTGAAACATTGTTCCATTTTGTTTCCCCATCTTTTAGCCCACTACAATTTATTATACATGTATTTGGTTATTTTTCTGTATGCTTAATGGAAGTCTCTAACAAATCTCTAGTTCCAGAGCCACTCGGTGGAGCTCTCATCATTGGACAGGAGTCAATAACATACCACAAAGGAGCCAACTACCATGCTATCGCTCCTCCAGCTCTCAAGGTAAACTACTATTGCATCAAGTCAAGGCATTTAAAGTTTGTCATCATTCTGTAGCTAGTTAATAGCCATTTGTGTATTACTTTACCTGCAATACTAGCTCAATGTTCAGTAGCAAAATGTTTTCTTGAACATGATAAATTGTGTTGGCTACAGTTTAACCACATTTCTTCAAGACTCCTCTCTTGGTTAAACTATATAATATATTATTACATTTAGTAATATTGAAAAAAATTACTTCCATCTCTATGTCCCTCCTAAGACCCCCTCACCCCCTAAATAAAATCTATTCCACCCCACCCTCTTCCCCAAGGGCAATAGTGAAATAAATTACTTCCATCTCAATTTTCCTCCCAAGACCCCCACACCCCCCCTAAATAAAATCTATGCCACCCCACCCTCTTCCCCAAGGGCAATAGTGAAATGAATTACTTCCATCTCAATGTGCCTCTCAAGACCCCCACACCCCTAAATAAAATCTGTTCCACCCCACCCTCTTTCCCAAGGGCACCCTCCAAAGGAATATCACTTGCACCTTTCATCCCATTATCACCCTCTTGAACAAAACATTAACTAAGAATACTATTTTTGCAGCAAAATTGACTGATAATTATTAGAACACTGCATGAATGAAATTCTGTGGTGTTAAAAGGTTTTCCTAAGACAGTAATACTGTTAGTTGCACAATTTTTAGCGGTATATAACAATGTTAAAGTAAATACTGTATTACTGTCGAAGGCTTTAAAAAGAATCTATATTTTGATCGATGAATGTTTTCAGTTTCTTTGGACATTTAATGATAGCTTTTCCAAAATATTGCTTACTTTACAGCAAAGTACCATCACTTGCTATGGGAAAATTGATACTAATGGCTCTCGTTATCTCCTTGGGGATATGAATGGCCGACTATTCATGCTGCTCCTCGAGAGACAAGAGCTGATGGATGGGAACATTGAGGTCAAGGATCTTAAACTGGAGCTTCTTGGAGAGGTACATGTAGAAAGAACTTAGGCCAAATAATTAATGCCTCATGCATCTCCACCATTTGTTAATATGATGAGCAAATAATCAATACATTCATCGTGATTGTTGGCTGGTGGAGATCACAGATGTACAAAGCTATCATCATGTAATAATAATAACCTAATCAAGGTCAATTGTTTGACTGGTCTTCTGATGAATAGATATGTAACGCAAACAACCTGTATTGTTGTTCTCTCTTAACACTCTTTCGGTAAGAAACAAGACTGCTGATGTTCTGGATTATGTTTCTGACTGAAGAGCTGATCTGATTACCTTTATGGAAAATTGGGCGGGGTGAGAATGATGCAGCAATTACAGCGGAACTTTGTCCAGATGGATACCAGTTTATGGATCAATGTAGAAATGGACATCGTGAAGGTGGAACAGGAATAATGTTTCGAGATTCCTTCTGTGTAAAGAAAGCAGGAGGAGGCAAGCATGAGTCTTTTGAATTTTCGGAGTGGATCATTATCAGACAAGTTTCGTGAAGTTATTATCTATTACCCTCCTTATTCAGAAGTTCATTCTGTGACATCTAATACTTTCTGTACGGACGGAAATTGTGAGGTATATGGGGTCCATCCTTCTAAAGAGAAGCTCACAATAATATGAGAGATATGATAAGGTATAACATCCACCATTGTTGTCAGATAAACCCATTGCACCTTTTTGGGCGTCACTAGTATCATCGGCATTAAAGCGTTATCGCTGTTACAGAATGAAACTGGATCCCTGAACATGTACATACTAATAATGCTCAAAGTGTGCTAAGTCAGCGTTAACTTGTGTACATAGTTTCCAATAACTTTGTACTTCATTGTTTGTTTAAATTATTTGCTTGTTATTTTTTGACTGTAGACTTCAATAGCCCACTGCCTTACATACTTGGACAATGGCGTGGTTTTCATTGGATCAGCACTGGGAGACTCACAACTTGTGAAGGTACCAAGCACCAGTGTTTTGTCTAATCACCACCAAGTACACTTAATTGTCTGATGGCAACTGAAAAAAATCACCAAAAATAAGCCTCAAGACAGTGGTACACAAGAGTAGATGCTATGACTGTCAGGCCACTCACATTTACATTGTAGATATAGATAAATAACAACAACAATCTTTATGTGACGAAAATTAGAGTACTTGCTGCCTGGAATAACCATAGGGGCTAGCAGAACCAGGCAGCCAGTTGACATCAGCATTAAATAGAAATAAATTAAAGGTCAGCAAGAAAACTGAAGCACTATAAATTTAATGAAACTCAAAAACTACCGGCATCTTTCTTTCTGAACAATTGCTTGACAATTACAGAATTTCACAATTAAAGTGTGACTACTCAAACCAGGGCACTTGGAAGAAGATTATCCGATCACAACGTTTTTTGAAAATAAAAGATTCTCAATTTTTATTGCAAGAGGACCAACAAAATTCAGGGTTCAACTATGCAACCGCCAAAAAACCGTTGAACGTGTCTGACCTCTCAGGAAATGGCCCTTAAATTTATGAATGTTATTGGTCTCTTGGCAATTGAAAAACTTTAGAATCTTGTGTTTTTAAAAAGCGGTGTGATAATCTCTCTCATAATCTCATTCCAAGTACCCCGGTTCAAGTAGTCGCACTGTAAGTGCCTATACAGAGTGAATCTGTCCAATCACTTTGCTTCATATTCTTGGCTAGGAATCTGCTGATTGCATGAGATACTGTTAAAACTAAGTGTCTAGTACAGGTGAATGTCTCACAGAGTATTATTTTGTATTTTTGCAGCTCAACACTGAGACAAATGAAAATGGCTCCCACGTGCATGTTATGGAAACTTTCACCAACCTTGGACCCATTGTAGACATGGTGGTGGTTGATTTGGAGAGACAGGGTCAAGGACAGGTAACTAACATCCACCTTTGATTTTAACGTAATCATTCATTTTTTCATTTGCTTTCTCTCTGATCTAATACCTTTTAGAAAGTTATATGACATGGTAAATACAGTCCCTGCTTTTCCTGTAAGTGAAGTTTAACTTCTGGTCAGGTCGCCTGCAGAAAACATGGGGTCCAGGGGAGGGGACTTTTTCTTGCATGTCCTTTGAAATTGTATTATTACTGGTATACTGCATGTAACAAGAATTATCATTCAAAGCAAATTTTTCTTTCTTTTTATTGGCCAAGAGCCCACCATGTGACCTGCAAATTTAATAACCGCCTACAAATAATGGTCTGCTCGTGCGCAATGCCATCCAACTGTGTTTGGCTGCAAATAATATTCTGCACATGCGTAAAGGAATGTGTGCTTTTCTCCTTCTTGTGATCGCTCTTGTGTGAAAATGGTAGATCGCTTCGCTTCTCAAGGATATTCATTAAAAAAAGAAACTTGATGATCGAATGATAAAACAATTATTGAACTCGGTTATCGCAAAATATTGTGATTTGTCAGTGTCTCACAGATTAATTATTTGCCTTAGCCTTCGGCATTTGGCAAATAATTGATCTGCTCACCACAGACAAATCACGATATTTTGCTCAACCTCATCCAATAATTGTTAATTATCCCCACAAGTATGTTACCAGGGCTCAAAAATAAGGGCTGGTCAATAGACAGTGTCTGGTCAAGATTATAAGTGTGATCAAACAATTATTCACTTATGAAGTCAAGAAGTACTTTCTGTTAAAGAATAAGTGTAACCAGAAAACTGCAAAGTTTGCAAGTCAGGGATTCTATGCTTAACGTACTGGCATCTAGATCAAACCCTGCATTTTGCTGGTGTAGAGGTCATTGGGTTAAGGTTTCAACTAGGATGTATCCTTCTACACAAGAACAAAGAGAGGTTATTGAACATGTTAGGTATTGTGTGCCTTAGTTAATTTTTGTTTGTTTTCAAATAGTTGGTTACATGTTCGGGTGCTCTCAAGGAAGGCTCATTGCGAATTATAAGAAATGGCATTGGCATTCATGAGCATGCTACAATATCAGACCTGGTGGGAATTATGGGTAGGTCAATTTCTCATGCCATTTCCTAAACAAAGTGGTCCCATTAAATTTGTTTTGTACTATAATTATTGGTTGTGCTCACATTTAATACAGCCCTATTAAACTATAGTCTCTCTTTTTTCAAATAATATCTTCCATAATTTTATAGAGCTGGCCCCGGTTGTTCAAACGTTGGATAGCGCTATCCAGCTTTTGAACAACCTGGGCCTGATGTATTTCATTATGTGGCAAGCGACATGTAGGAAGAGGATGTAACTACCTTATATTGTCGGGGGGTGTGGAGTCAGGAAGTTCAAAACAGTTTTTGATGCTCTGCTCTCCCTCCCCCAGGAAATTTCTTACCTTCCAGGGTAACCATGATATTCTCTCCCAGTGAGATTTCTTAGCACACAATTGGCACAAGAAGTCAAATCTCTAATTAAAATGTGGTCGAAAAATGATCTTTTTGTTCAGTCTACTATATAAAATGTTCCTGCTTTTTTTACTTCATATTTTTTGTTTTTGCTTGATAATGGACATCAATAAGCAAATGCTTGTGGTGATGCAGTACCTCTTAATAATGAAATAAATAATTTATCAATAGTGTTTCCAGCAATGACAGTAAAAATTTTATTTGTGTACATTGGAGTTTTAAATGAGATTTACCTTTATTAATCAGGCATCTGGCCTTTGCGATTGAAAAAGACTGCAAAGAACTTTGATGATGCCTTGCTTCTTTCATTTGTTGGACAGAGTAGGTAAGTTTTTATGGGGTTACTTTCAAATATGCTGTCCACAGAGATTTTTTCTAACAGTCTAAAAATGGCCCTAGTTCTTATCTTCATTTATGTCTAGATAATCTGTCAATGGAAAATGAAAGGTCTGGGAACAGACCAATTTCTAAAGAAACTGGTGTTGCATTGTTGGAAGAGTGAAACACAAAAAGTTGGTTTTTATCAACTGATTTGATAATGTAAATTTGTCAGCATGAAGAGATTTCAAGCACTAGTCCTTTGTCATCCTTGATTCACACAGGCCAGCACTTAAAATGTCAGCTTTGAAACCTGTTTATGGTTGCAGATTTAAATTCTAACTTGTGAATAAACTCAGTTGACAAGACCTAGTAAGTGTTTGTCTGAGAGATGGACTGAGTTCCCTGGCATGGCTTCTGTTAGACTTCACTGCACAATATTTTTCTTGAATTTGCTTTCATTTGGAATGCGGAACAAAATTGTTGATGAATTTTTATAAAATGATTGTTTTTTTCTGTCTGTCAAAAGAAATTGTAGTTACAGATTGATACTTGTGTGTCTATTGCCTACTTTTTTAGGTAAGAGAGAAGAGAGTTACATGATCCTAAGTGGTCCACTTCACTTGCAGTTGTTGGTTGCCTAAACATCTCAAAATCAAACTTAATTTCTCGGACTTAAGTACAGATATTTTTCTTGTAGCAAACAAATTTCAGAAACAGAAGTTAAATGATTTAAAATTACATTGACTTGATATTATAACTATTTCTCTTATTAGTTTGGTTTGCCTATAATATTTCTACATTTATTTATTGTTTTTATATTGATTGTTTTGTTAACCTGTTATTCTGATTTTGATTTTCTTAGAATTTTAGCTCTTACTGGAGAGGAAGTAGAAGAGACGGAAATTCCTGGGTTTGATGACAACCAACAGACCTACTTTTGTGGAAATGTCACTGGTGATCAAATCATTCAGGTACATTTTATTTTAGGTTCTTTCAGACAACATTCACTGCTGTAGGAGGCAACACAGGCAACCTAAACTCATATTTATAAGGAAAAGGTGGATGTAATGTATAGAAGTTTGTTTTCACCATTATGCTGAGGTTTGTGACAATTTTTGAAGGGAGTGGCATTGTATAGGAGATTAGGTGCTCTTTAAAACTTAACATAAAATTATTTTGTTGAATTGCTCTTAACTGGGTCAGGGTATGTTTTTGCATAATATCTTTTAATATCCCTGAAAGTGTTTTTTTTTTTTGATAAGGTCTGCTTTTAACATTTAGGTGATTTTGTCACCTAAATGTTTTGTAGCACTGGGGTATTTAAGGGCATTTTTGATTTACAAGATGGTTATAGTCTGTGTTGATGTTTTTGATGCAGGTTACCACATCATCAGTGCGTCTTGTAAGCTGTGAAACAGGGCAGCTTGTTTGGTGAGTTGATTCTCTTTTTTTTTTCAAAACTCTTTCAATGCATGCCTGTTTTCATACTTACTTTTTAATAAAAAAAACGTAAACAAGTTTTTGATGCCTGCCATATCTTAATTTTGTTTCAGTTCCACAGAAAGAAAGCCTATGATAAACGTTGTATTAGCCTTGCCGTCATGTTACTTTATGAATGAAAGATTTATTTGCTAAATAATATGATGTGACATGACTTGCTTAAATGTACAGGTAGACTGAGTCTAGCATTCATCAAGAATTTAAGCTTACTTTCATGCAAAGTGTGAAATAGCTAAAGGGGCAAATAATCTCTCCTTTGTAGATTAATGGATGTTATTATGGTAATGTTTGGTTTCATTGTCAGATGAAGTAAGTTTTGAGATTCTTTCCTTCTCCTTCATTCCACAGTGAATGGCGGCATCCTTCGCATAAAAATATCAGTGTATGTGCATGCAACTCAGAGCAGCTTGTGGTGGCTGTTGGCTGTGATTTGTTCTACATGGAATTAACTGTTGGGCAAATTAATCTTACCAGGTGATTGGCCAGTCAATTAACTCACATAATTACTTGAGTTGATTCAGTGTGCATTTCCATTCATTTCCTTTGTAGAATCTGAATCTTTTAGTTCATCAGTTCATGCTTTAAAGAAGCTGTGTCAGGAAATTTACCAAATTTCAAACCGTGGGAACTGTCACCAATTTGAATGAAACTTTAACCCTTTAAGCCCCATTATCCACATACAAATTCTCCAAACTGATCTCCATACATTTCCTTCTTGAATGAGTTGAGAGAATTTGATAAAAGATCAGGGCATTTTCCCTTAGGTGATCATTTTGTTAATTCTCATAACCTGATCTCTTGACATTGTATGGATATCGTTATAAGAGAAAATTGACATTAGTCACTATTGGGACTTAAAGGGTTAAAATAACTGCTCAAAAGGTTACAAAAAGGTATAAATAACATCGCAAATGAAAAATTAGGCTTGGATGGACAAACGTCAAGAGGATTGAAACGGATTGCAGTTGTGGTTTTTGAGAAGTTGTTAGCCTTAAAGTTTTTCAAAGTTCATTTTTGTTATTTCTAATGGTTAATATAATGCTTGGCAGACATTCTGTTTGTTTGACATGAAGCTGTGATTTTGTCATTCACAAGTAATTTCTCAAGTTCCACAGCAAAACAATGCGTGATTGGGATTATAAACAAAATGAATTAAACAGCCGTGACACAACCCCTTTAAGTCCCAAGAGTGACTAACATGAATTTTCTCCTCACAATATTCATACATCAGTCGGAGAAAATGTCATGAGAAATTGATAAAATGATGACCAAAGGAAAATTACTTTGATCTTTGAACAAATTCTTTCAACCAATTCCTTATGGCAAGGTACAAATGTATGTACAATGTACTTCAGTCTTACGTGGAGAATTTGTATGTGGATATATATTGGGGCTAAGAGGGTTAGAAGGTAAGTTATCTTTGTGGTTAGGAGAACAAAGTTTTTTTTTTCATGGTTTTGGTTAGTTTGTGAACAGGCTCCTCGGGGAGTTGGGAGGTGGGAGGTGGGGTGAGGGATTTGGAAGCTCTCCCTCTTAACTTTACCTTCCCTGTCTGCTCGCACTTTCTAACGCCCTTTCTCTTCATCTTTTACCCCATAATAGAGCCTGTTCAGTTCACAGCTATGTTTTGTAAAGTGTTTTTCTCTTTAAACTGCTTGTATTTACATCTTGTCGTACTGTTAATTTCCAGCCAAACCACGATGGAACATGAAGTTGCTTGTCTGGATATCACTCCAACTTGTAAGAATCTAATTACTACATTTGATATTTGCTGGCCTACAGCTATTTATTCTGTCTCCTACAATGGTTTCAATAGAAATTGACGTAGCCAGCTGGTTTGAATAGAGTATTCCACTGTGTCAACAAGGGGCCGGTGGCCCCCTTATCTAGGGGTGTCTGGGAGCGTGTTCCCTTGAGAATTGTTAATATTTCAAAGCCCTTCTTTGTCTCTCACGTAGCATTATATGTTTTTCTCCTATGGTTGTTTACACAACAAGGAAAGTATTTTCTGGAAGTTTGATTTTGGATAATCTCTTCTCGTTTTGTATCAGTTGAGTCAAACACTAGAGCTGACTTGGTAGCCGTGGGTTTGTGGACTGACATTTCAGTTAGAGTGCTCAAGTTACCTGGTTGTGAGCAACTGTTTGTTGAGATGCTTGGTGGAGGTGAGTCTTATGGTTAGGTACGTGACTGCAAGGGAACTTTACCCTTTAACTGCTCACAGGCATCCCAAGCTGATGTTACAAATGTGCCATGTAACTTTACTGTCTCACAAGAGCGTTAGTGTCGCGTTACAAGCGACCGTTGAGACTTTGTTTGAGAAATAAAATACTGAGGTCTGCGAACGCTAAATATCATTAATGTCACTATTCCGCTTAAGATACGCATGAAAAAGTAACACAACTAAATAGCGCACACAGGCAAATAAGACAGTTACTACAAGATGGCGTAATAAGGGGGGGACACAGCCCTGTGGCAAGTTCTAGCGACTTCAGGTTATGCGCAGAGCAAAAACACAAGCCTCACTTATCGCCCCACTACCCTGGGGTAGGACAAGAGTATTGGCAGAGCCTTTCTTATCTCCCCAGCGCCGCACGGGCTGGATCGGACAAGATTAAGGCAAATGAATAAGATGGCAAGACACAAGCCATGCCAAAAGCTTGGGGGAAGTCGCAACGCAGACTTAACAGCACCACAAGGAGTGACCCCGCAAACTTTATTGATACCTAACACAACAAAACTGCTCCATAAAAAAGGAGACTTACCTTTGATGTATTCCTGTGTTTTTTGGTGTGAATTCATTGATTTAGTCGGGTCTTTTGGCTGTTATTTTGTGACCTCTGTCACTCCCTTCATAATACGAATACATCAAAGGTAAGTCTCCTTTATATATTATTTGCTCACCAAAAATTCTGTTGCTTGTGTTCCTTTTCGCTTTTATTTTATTTACTGCCGCTCATTTTCACCTTGCTGGCCGCTAGCATTTCTCATTTTCTCACCGCGGCTATGAAATTCTTTTATTTTTCTTCTAACGAAATTTGTCTCCTTTGTTTTTAATCACTCTCTTTAGCTCTTTCTCTGTTATTCACCTGAGTGTAGACATCAAAAATGACATCGAAAAAGAAGTGACTTTGTTCTTGTTTTTTCTCTCTTAAAGTCCAGGTGGCCATGCGATTTCCCTCCAAAAACACCTCGAGTTGACTGTGGTGTCGTAGCTGTTAATTGAGTTATTTTACATTGGTATACCAGACGGACGGACGGTCGGACGGCGTACGGTCACATGATTACCAAAATTTCTCGGATAGATGGATTATCAAATTTTCTTAGCTATTAAATGTCTGCAACATGCCAGAGAAAATTTACCCTGAGTCGGGAAAGAGGAAGTGACGAGGTTCCTTCCTCTCCCCGACTTATCTAGGAAGATCGAAGGAGGCTCTGTTCGCAGGGTAGAGAAAGTTATACCCGTTACAATTTATCTTATCACTGCAGTTTATCTACTTTAATTTTCTCCTGTGCAAACATTTACTTGATAGGATATTGAAAATGCACCTCTATTTCTTTTCACAGAAATAATTCCTCGTTCTATTCTGAAGACATCTTTTGAAGGAATTCATTACCTGCTTTGTGCTTTGGGAGATGGAACTCTGTTTTATTTCACCATGGACCCTAGCAATGGTACATTTGAATACCTTTGACGCCCATACGTCTCGGCAAGATAACAGCTAAGAATGTCTAAGAAGTTATGAAATACACCATGACATCCCGAAAGTATATAATTTTAATTATAACAGCGTAATTTGGCTTTCTGTACACTGAACATTGGACATGTTAGCCACATGTCAGGAGTAACTGACATTCAAAGAGAGTAAAGGGAATGGTTAATTCTTTTTACTGAGAAAGCTGTGGGACAGTTAATATTAGTCCCACGCAGCCGAGGAGACTTGCCTGACGAAACAAAAACGGTTGCGAGCAAGAAACTTTTAAAGCTTACTTGCCCAATGGGCAAGGGTCCCAGCAAGTCATTCTCTAAACAAATCATTAACTAAAACATAGTCTACTAACTATGATTAAAACGAGCAAGAAGTGGCCCTGGGAAAGCAAAATGCGAGAGCTGCTTGCCCAAAGAAATAGCTGGAATTCAAGTTGTTTTCGAACCCCTGTATTCATTGATTAAAAAAAGTAGTTTCTCTCAACCGTTCAACGGTCATGTTTATTTTTGACGTTAACTCTAGGATCCCTCACTGAGAGAAAGAAGGTGACACTTGGAACTCAACCCACCATGCTGAGAACATTCAAGTCTCTCTCAACAACAAATGTGTTCGCTTGTTCTGATCGACCTACTGTCATATATTCCAGTAATCACAAATTGGTGTTTTCTAACGTTAACCTCAAGGTATGTATTAGGAGCTTGTCCTATCAGTCTTTAGGAAGGGCTTCTGGCGGCCCGAACCTATTGCTTAGGGTGTTGGTTATCTTTTTGAATGGTGCTTTTCAGCTGGAAAGATTTAACCGATGTCTATGATTTTTGGCTGCCCTATTAAGAAATAGTGGAAGTGTAAGAAAATGTTATTGATTATCTTGTAGTAAAACGTTTGAAATATCGGCATGTATCGACGAAGAAGCTATTGTTATTATATGACAACGCCATCGTTACACGGTACGCCAGTAAACAACGTCAACTTCCGTGACGTTAACCCTGTTACGACACTTGATTTTTTCTCACTCTCTCAATCGAATACGATGTTTATTTTTGCAGGAAGTGAACTACATGTGCCCGCTAAACTCTGAAGGATTCCCAGACAGGTAAATCTGATCCTTGATCGGCAAATAACAATAGCATTGAGAAAGATATTTATTGAGTCAGTGACAGAGGTGGCTTGGATAAAAAGAACCGCCCAGTACCCTCAATAGTAATCGAACCTGTGACTTTCCGTAACTAGTCCAGATGCTCTACATGACTAAGCTATGAGAGACCCATGGGAGCTAAGGGCACTAAATTGGTTTTGGTGACAAAGGTCCTGCATACTGCTAGGGCTGAAATGTCGTTATGTGCTTATGCGCAATGATAGAAGAAAATTCACCAACAAAAATTCAGCAACAGCATCCCTTTTACGTTCAGTGTTCGTGACCGCACAACGTGAGAATTAAGCTCGATGTTTTGAATCGGTTTGCCAAACTGTTAACATTTCCGCTCAAAACTGTGAAATGCTCAAGTTCTGCAGGTTTTTTAATTTCATTATGAAACGACTGGCAAAATTTAAGCTGGAAACTTTAAATGCCTGTCTCAGAGCAACACGATAACCTCTACAATAATAACTGCACCCATGATCATTTCGTGTCAAAACAGCATCCAATACAGGTGTTACTAGTTGTTTTAAATTGATCGGTACTGAAATGGAGCCCATTCTCTTGACATCCCAACCGCCATGTTGTGCCCCAAACGAGTCCTGTAGGAGTCGAAGTCTTTTCCCTGCTAAATGCCTTTTACTTTGTTGCAATAATTTTGCAAAGATCTGGAGCTGCTTTGCTCCATTTTTAGGTGTTTATAAAACAAAGGCGGTTGTGAAACAGGAATGGTTGGGATGATTTAATTGACGATTTCTGTTCTTTGCGTTTCAGTTTGGCTGTAGCGAGTGAAGGAGCATTGACCATCGGAACAATTGACGAAATTCAGAAGCTTCACATCCGAACTGTTCCTCTGGGAGAGAGTCCGCGGTATTGGATTACATGAAGTTATTTACTGCGCTTTTGTTTGATTTTGTTCACCAGTTTCACATTGACCATAATAGACCTTGTTTAGTCCCCCAAAGTTTGCATAACCTTTGTCTCCGATTTCTCTTGGGACGACTGTTATACCTATAGAAACTGAAAACAATGGTTATGCATTTTTTTTATCTGGAGTGGCGGGGAGAGGGGAGGGGGGGGGTAAGCAAGGTGCATTATGGTCAATGTGAAGATGGTGAATTCGAAATGAAAATACAAATGAAGTGGCTTGATTATTACGGCAACTGAACTGAATGAAGGAAAATGGAGGGGATTTGTAACGATCTTTCTGGACATTGATATTCCGAAATTCCATAAATCAAACGCAAGGTTTCCATTTATTCAGTGGAATCTGTCGCTTTTGAGGTTAAAAGTAAATAAGCAGAACGACAGAGAGAAGAGAAGCTTTTTCGTTTGTTTATTTTTTTTTCTGTTCATTTGTCTCTGCTTTTCTTGTCGTTTATTTGGGATCTTTGTTTGTTTCTGTCTTCTTTCACTGTTCTCATGATTTTCAGTTACTTGTCACAATAATTTAACTGTCGACCAAACGAAACAACCCCCTCCCCAACCAGAAAACGTATCTCGTATTATTTAGCCTGCGCTACAAACGCAATTTTAACGGCAACTTACTATGATAAATTTCGCCTGGGTCGCAGACTAGTCAGGTTAGTCTTGTTAAGTTGTGGTCAAAGAAGTCCCAGGTTAATTACCGCACGTATCGTATCTAACATTGGTGGTATTTTGTCGCTTGTCAGGCGTATTGCCTACCAGGAATCCACGCAAACATTTGGCGTGATCTCCATGCGTATTGAGGTTCTGGATCCTACATCAAATTCGACCCGACCCCTCCACCCCAGCGCAAGCACTATGGCTCAGAACATAACTACCAGTGTGTCAACCGGCATGCCAGGCACATCCACCGGCAGCTCCAACAGAGCTGCTGCTGCTGCTGACGGCATTACTTTTGGCGATGAGGTGGAAAGAAGTAGTGTCTTGATTATTGATCAACACACCTTTGAAGGTATGTGTTAGTAACCGTGCACCTTGCCTTGCTTAGTTCACAGGTGTCTAAATTATCGTCGCTGTCAATTTTGGATGCTTCACTAAATAGAACAGTCTTGACCAAGTCGACCTCTTCATCAGTAGTAGGATCTAAAATTTTTGTCAGTAACCATATAGGAAGCGAAGCGAGCTTTAATGAGATTTCGAAGCGACCCAAGCGGCTGGCGCGGTGGCGAGATTTCGCCTTGCCCCTCTTGAAGGAATTTGAATCTAGTTTCCCGCCAGAATCATAGTTAAGGGACAGTATGTTATCGATCGCTTGGCAGATATTTCAAAGGTCCAAAAGCTTATGTGACAGTAACAACGAGCATAGCAGTATTAGTCTTGATTGACGTCTTGTTCGTCGCTGATTCTCATTGGCTTGCGCTATAATTTATGCAGCGACCCGTTTTTGGGTCGCTAAAATCGGCGTGCGGTAAGCGCAAAAAGTCCTACGTAGGGTGTGACAATTCCTTATACGGGCAATTGAGCTGTAGTGGTGCTATTTAAATGAAACCTCTTCAACAGTATGTTGTCGTGGTAATATTTGGTAATACTATTTTGTTTATTACAATTTTGCCAATTTAAATTTAGTTTTTTTCCCCGGGAATTTTTTGAAAGTGTTAACGCATCATTTTCTTGTTACAGTGACGCATGCGCATGATCTTCAAGACCACGAGTGTGCCACCAGTCTGATTTCGTGTACGTTATCAGGTGATCCTAACAGCTCATTCAGTAGCAATGGAACCTCCAACACATTCTACTGTGTCGGTACAGCTTACGTCTTCCCTGAGGAGCCGGAACCCAAAACAGGACGACTTATCTTATTCCAGCTACTAGAAGGTAGAAAAAAGACACAATTTACGATAGAGTAACTTTAGATTCGAGGACAAGAACGACTATCAGTTCAGTTTGAAATTTGATTAAAAGTTTTTCCGCGTATTGTCAAAACGATAACATCTCTAACATTTGATAACTTTTTCCCGCCACTACGGCATTCTCGCTTAAACTCGTTGTAGAATGACGACGGCCATCACGTTTTCCCGCCAAATGACGCTGGCTCACTCGTGAGCACTACTCTGAGTCTTGAGAAAATCTCGTACTTGTTGTCGTACTCGTCTTATTAAAAACCAAAGGTCTCTAATGTCAAAACTGGCGATATAAACACAACTTAGGCCTGCAAATAATCATCTGGTAAGATTTCCGTACAACCCCATAATTTATTATGCATGCACTAATTTCATGCTATTTCACACAAATAGTTAGTATGAATAGAATTGACCACTCTAGAAAATACCATAACAAACCATAATGGTCTTAGTTGGTCACCCCAAAATTTTGCATAAGCATTGTCTTCAGTTTCTCTTGGGAGTTAAAATGGCCCCAACAGAAACTTAAAACAATGCTTATGCAAAATTTTGGGGTGACAAACAAAGAGCATTATGGTATGTTATGGTATTTTCTGGAGTGGGCAATAGAAACATGTATGCATAATAATTGATGGGCTGGTTGTACGGAAATCTTATCCACCGTTTCTACTCTACATTATAGAGCGTGGAGTTTTGTGTCTAAGTGCGCCAAAACTCCTATCACAAAGATGTGAAAGGCCAGTAATTTCTTATCACACCTCAAAAATATATTTGCAAACACATGTACAAATTTGATGTTTGTATGAAAAAACTTTGTGCCATGCACGTGCAAATACCCTTTCATACAAATTCGTGAGTTGGGCACCTTATAATTCCGCTGTTGGTACTTTTGTTTCAGGGAAGCTTGTCCAAGTCGCTGAAAAGGAAGTCAAAGGTGCCGTGTATTCGCTCGTGGAGTTTAATGGCAAAGTTTTGGCTGGTATAAATAGTACGGTAAGCAAAATGATTTCACGAAAAAATAAAATAAAAAAAGTTCCAGAAACAAAGCAACATGTCAGGCGAAGACGAAGACGGTTTGATGTCTTAAGTCAGTCTTGTGGGAGTTGAACTCTTTTCTTATGTTAACGCTTATTTTCTTCCAATAAATTAGCATAGATGCTGGGGCATGGGTACGTCAGCGTTATCGCTTTAGGGGCCATTCCTTGTACATGCTTCTCTTTGTGTTTACCCAGGCCTTTGACGGACCTAACACCTTCACCGTTTCCAATTTTTTCATCCCATATGTATAGACTGCTGCTAGTACCTTGGGACGGTGGGTTGAGCGAGTAAATCGAGCGAGCGATCGAAAAAATGTAGAGCAGAGTGGAAACTGGGAAAAAAGCACCCTCACCGAAAAGTGTTGGACAGACGCCTTTTTTTCAGTTCCCCTCTCGACCCATACACACTTGCGACGTAAGCATGAAAGATAGGCCTAAGGGCCACCAGCTTCAAAAAAAGTAAATAGGGCGGCAAAAACAAGAACGATTTGGGATTCAGAGATTTAAAGTCAACCCAAAAGATATTCCTGGAACAGTTATAGTAAATACACGTACGTTGGAAAGTGGACAGAGGAGAAACTAACCTTCGGCAAGGATCCTTCGAAAATACATGAAACGTCAAGTCTTTCTCTTATCAGAACGATTAGTACAAAGCGCAGCAGCGCGGCATTTGTGAGGACTAACTTTTTGTCATAGTAGAAGGGTGCCGTTCGGCCACTTCATACAATTTAATTGTGATGTGGCCCTTGGGAGGACTCGCTTTCAGGCTTACGTCAAAGGTGTGTGTTGGCTTTCTTTAATCCCTCCGAACGTCGAAACGACTGACTGAAAAGCTGGGGACTGCCCATAGTCCGGTTCTTCCGGCGTATCCAGACTGTACTAAGCACCATTTACACTGGCATCTTGTCTCCGGTTTACAAGTTCGTCCTTGACAAGTTTTCCTTGGTAGTGTATTTAACAGAATATGCCAATTTTTTCCCATCAAGAGAAAAGTTATTTGTAGCCATAGCTGTGGCTTTTTGAAGTTCAACCTAGCTGCAGCTCTGTTCTTATCTGTGTTGTCTCTACAGGTCAACATTTATGAGTGGACGACGGATAAGGAGTTGCGATTGGAATGCCAATTTTTGAATAACATCCTGGCCCTTTTTCTCAAGTCCAAAGGAGATTTTATTTTGGTAAGTGTTTCGTTTTTATTGCTTTAGTCAAGAGAGAATAATCCCGTTATCTTCTTGTGCTTTATTTTATGGTACTTATGTAATTTGACTTGAAATGCAATTATGACTTGAAATGTCCAGATGGAAATTCACGAAAAATTCCTTTAAAATACCCACTGAGCATCGCTTGTGAATGAAAACACACATGAAAGGGTGAGCGTTCGGACTTGCCTTGAGAAAGAGGCTACGTCTGTTGAAGAAGACAAGAAAAAAAGGTTGTCGGTAGGGAAACTGTGGTTTTAGCGTCAGTAGGGGAGTGAATCACAAAAATTGTTTTAGCAAGCGAGTTGATGAGTATATACTTGCCACCGTAATGCAATTCTGAAGTTGAGGTTTCCAACGGTAGTCTTTGTAAGGTGGACTGTGCACCTTCTCAACTTTGTTGTTAACCCAAACCAGGGATGCCAACCCCTTAACTGTTCAAATATTGAGAAATGGTAGACGACGTCATAATGCATAGTCCATGACGTCATTTCGCCAAAAAACGCGCGAAAAAGATGTTGTTGGAATTGTAACATTTGACCTGATTGGTTTACTTGTCCCCAATCACGTTATAGCTTATATTTCAATGGCATACCGGAGTTTATAAGGAAACGTTCAATGTTCATAAAATAACTCAAACAACGCAAAATATTTGAAATTTTATTGTCAGAGAGTCGAGTCTACAAGAAATGGCAAACTTTGGTGATTATTCGGGAGATTTCTGGAGACCGGGAGATTCTGTTCAAAATCTGGACTCTCCCGAATTATCCGGGAGAGTTGACAGCGCTGCCAAACATAGAATTTGTGTACCGGGTTTTGACACGAATTAAATAGTGGCAACTAGGTTTTACATTTTATGATAGGCCATTTCCGAGTTGTCGGAAGCCTCTGTTTCAAAGCGAGGCTAAGTGCAAATGATATGAAAATGATTCTATCTCGCCAAAAGTGAACTGACAGCATTTTGGTTTTGGTTTCATTTATATGATCGGTTGGTTTCCTGCATCATTCTGGTTTTGGTTTTGGTTTTGGTTAGGGTTAAGCTGTCAGTTTACTTTTGGCGAGATTTCTCATGCAAGTAAAAAATCATTTTCACAAGAAAGATTTTTGCACTTAGCCTCGTTCTTGGAGCTCGGGAGTGGCCCATTGATTTTGAAGTTAATCCGTAGTTCGGTTACTTGCTGTTTTTCAGGTTGGAGACTTGATGAGGTCTATGACTCTGTTAGCCTACAAGTCCATGGAAGGGAGTTTGGAAGAGGTATGGACTGATATGGGTGCTATTTCTGTATCTTTGATCAGAGAATGATGGATATAAGTTGAAGGTTAAATCCTTTTTCAGGTTAAACCAGAATTTCCTGTCTCTCCTATGAATAATAAGGGCCAGAAAACAAAGCAAATTTTGAACAAAACTAGGTTGTTTACTTGGTTAACCTGAAAACAAAATTGTAAATAAGGACTCGCCTATAGCTTTATCGCTTCCATGGCAACTGGATCTCAAGGGTCTAAGTATGGAACAAACTTGTTCTGTGATTAAAATCACGTTATATTCCTTCTTGTTGATAGATTGCCCACGACTACAGCCCAAACTGGATGACGGCGGTTGAGATCCTTGATGATGATACGTTTTTAGGAGCCGAGAACTCGTTCAACTTGTTCACGTGTCAGAAGGATAGCGGTGCTGCTGCGGATGATGATAGATCCTACCTTCAAGACGCTGGACAGTTCCACCTTGGAGAGTTTGTGAACGTCTTTAGACATGGTGAGTGAACAGTGTGCGGTTAATTCCAGCCATTGAGAGACCATAGTCCTTGTCCCACGCTGATCAGCGACGGTAGGCCTTTTTCCCGCGCTGCTCAAGGACGGTAGGTCTTTTTCCCGCGCTACTTAGGGAGAGTAGGGCTTTTTTCCCGCGCTGCTCACAGATCCTATTTCGTCCTTTGATTTTCCCAAGGGACGGGAGGCTTTTTTTCCGCGCAGCTTAGGATGGTAAGCCTTTTTCCCCCGCTTATCAGAGACGGTGGGGCTTTTTTCCCAGGCTGATCAGGGAAGGTAGGCCTTTCCCGCGCTAATCAGGGTTACGATGGTACTTCTCACCTGCCGATCAGGAGCGGTGGTACCTGCAGGCAGTCCAGGTGGATGGTTTGAGGCCTGATCTCTGTACAAACACAAATACAAATAAACCCTAATCAATTTCGAATACATTCTTGTATTTCTTTGAATACTGCGGTTCTCTTCCTCGATGGTATTTTCGTGTTTTTTTTCTCTCCGTCTCCTGTTTGAGATTCAGAAAACCGTGAACACCTGGAATATTTCAGGGATGTTGATTATTGTGTTTTCGCCAATCGCAACAAAGATCAGTAGGTACAAGCGAAGAACAAAATCGCAAACCTTATTAACGTAACTACTCAGAGCTTAGTTTTGTTTACCTGATAAACTAATTCCTTGCAACACAATAACATTCCAGGGCCCAGTTGTTGGAAGACCGATTAGCACTTAACCTAGGGTTAAATTTAAGCCGGGTTTGTTTTTCTTGTGTTCTAAAGCATTTTCTCCGATAATTTTCTCTGTTATTTATAGAGCTTCCAATCATCAACTTGTAGGCAAAAGGAATTAAAAGTGAAAGGCTTTTTAAGCTTTCAAATCTGAATTTAAATCTCGCAGTAACCTAGGGTTTAACCTGAAATCAGGCCCAATTTTAGCGGTTCTCATACATTCTCTCTAACGGCTACCACGGAATGTTATTACAGAGCGAAACGAAAATTGAGCCTGATCTCAGGTTACCCAGGGTTATTTTAATCCAACTTTGAACAACTCGGCCCAGAAGTATTTCAGGTGTTCACGGCTTTCTGAGATCCCGTTTACACGAGTCCGGACAAATTTTTTATCGGATGAATTTTTTACCTGTGCAACCCGTTTACACGCAACCGTGCAAATTCCGTGGGTCCCAAGTAAACGAAGGTGGATCCGTGCAAGTTTTTGACCTTTCAAAAATTTGTCTGGATCCCTGTAAACGGGCTCTGAGTCCCATATCTGCGACGTAATGCTTGGGGAAGCTGAGTAGTGAACTAATGTGTCTTTCAGGCGGGGGGAGGGGGTAGGTGGATCGTATTCCTCCTCCCTTGTGAGGTTAGATATAACATAATCCTTCTTGTTTCGTTTTGTAGGCTCTCTCGTCATGGAACATCCCGGTGAAGCGTCCACGCCATTTCAAGGCTGTGTTTTGTTTGGCACCGTCAACGGCACCATAGGTTAGACACAATCTGTTGTTCTCTCCATTGAAGAATTGGAGAGGGGAAGGGGAAACATGATTGGGGAGGAGCGTGGGAATGCGCGGAGAGTATAGATATCTAGACTGACAAATAATCTGCATTTGCTGAAGTTTTATTCTCCCTTTGGTGAAGTCATCGAATCTAGGAAGCTTAGCTTCTAGGTGGCGATGTCTGGTTCACTACTGATTCTTTCATGGCAAGTCTATGGGCCTGCTCACATGGAGGTGGGGAACCCCATTTAGGTGAGGTTATAATCTCTCATTTTAATGTGATCACCTTTACATGTTAGGCGGGGTGACCCGCCACCTGTTACCTCACCTACCCGGAGTTTGCAGAGTGGGAAAACAAAATTTAAACAGAGACAAAATTGAACTACAACACGTGGTTTTCATTCAGTTGATCTTAGTGTTCTTGTGTAAGAAAATTCTTAATTGATTTGATTTAACAGGAATTGTAGCCCAGCTGCCTCAAGAACTGAGCACGTTTTTAACGCTCGTGCAAGTCAAACTCAGTAAAGTTATCAAGAGTGTTGGAAAGATAGACCACTCATTATATCCTTTAACTATTTGTCTTACTGTACTGTGTAACTCTGTCAAGTAAGACTGATTTAGAATGTCTCCTTTTAATCACATCCCGTCTTTTGGTCACTTGTGGTACATCCTAGGTTATGTTCATACTATTCCGAATAGCTTTCCCTAGTGTGTAGTATGAATAGCAACGGTTCAGAACTGGAACAAGTCGCTCACACATATCGAACAATTTGCCGTGATGGTTTTGTGAACAGGGTTCATACAGAGTCTTTAATTCTTGAAAAAGTCTTGAAATTTGCCTGGCAATTTCCAGACTTGGAAAAATTTCCTGCGTTTTTTTAAGGTCTCTATTGATCACCTTTTTGGCAACCTTGAGTCTCGAAAAAGAAATTATTGTAATGGAAAAAAGTCTGGAAAACGTCTTGAATTTTGGATCCAAAAATCTGTACGAACTCTGTGTGAACTAAATCCCAGTCCTCACTCCGTCATCTATCCGATATGTGACGCTCCACTTTGAGAGATCGGCGCGGCGCAGCTCCGCTCCGTTACAGAAATCGCGCCGAAATCACCCTTCTTATGTGTGAACAGAATTGCTATACGGTATGGTTTTTGTGCTGGCGCAAATAAGCTATCTGGTAAGTATGAACACCTATCCGATATGTGACGCTCTACTTTAGGGATCGGCGCGGAGCAGCTCCGCTCCGTTACAGAAATCGCGCCGAAATCACCGTTCTTACGTGTGAAAAGAATTCCTAGACGGTATGGTTTTTGTGCTGGCGCAAATAAGCTATCTGGTAAGTATGAACACCTATCCGATATGTGACGCTCTACTTTAGGGATCGGCGCGGAGCAGCTTCGCTCCGTTACAGAAATCGCGCCGGAATCACTGTTCTTATGTGTGAACAGAATCCCTATACGGTATGGTTTTTGTGCTGGCGCAAAAACTATCCAGTATAGTGTGAACATAACCTTTGTCTTTGCATTGAAATGAAACTCTCTCAATCGGTAATTGTTTTATTATGAGTAGCCGCATTCTTAATACAGTGGAACCTCGATATAACAAAGAACTAAGAGACCGTTGGCAAAAATTTGTTCGCTATAACGAGGTTTCATTATAGCGAGGTTCTTTTTCATATGTTTTACTATACTGGGGTAAAGAAAATCGTTCGTTATACCGAGAACTTCGTTAGATCCATTCGGGGTTCATTGTATCGAGGTTCCACTGTGACGATTTTGGCGGCGCCTGTCACTTGGTGATTGAGCTTAAGACTGCAAGGGTTTCCGTGCAGGGACCAGGGAGACGTTAACTGTAATAAGAATTACTGCGGAACTTAATTATGCCTTAACTTGTTTTTCTACCTGGCGCGCCTTTTCCAATGAGAGAAAAACTGAGCCAACGATCGGCTTTGTGGACGGAGATTTGATCGAAAGCTTTTTAGATCTCCCTCGGTCAAAGATGGAAGAGGTGGCCTCGGGACTACAGGTAAGTGTTAAGTTTTGTTTCGGTAATTGTTTCAGACTACCCCAGGCTCCAGGTGGAAGGAAGATAGCAGACTCATGGTATAAAATTTAGCCTGGGAGTTTTTCCCTCTTAGAGCGGGGTCTGATATCCCGGAGGGCAGCGTTTTCTCTGGGACGCGCTACCACTAGTATTTCTTGAGTTGTGCTTCTCGGGGAAGGGGCCCGGGCCTAGGGTCGGGATCGAGACAGGCGGGATCATGGATGTCCGTAAGGGCTTTGAAAACAAGATACAACCCTTATAATAGTGCTTGACCGCTCAGCAAATCGGGGCTTGCTGGCTGGTCAAAGAGAATTTAAAGTCCCTGTCAGTAAAAAAAAATGTTTTATAGGAGTACTAACACGATTACTGATAATCATGTAATTCAGTTACATTATTATCCTGAAATAAGGACGGACACAAATAATTCACATAAACTTAGCAAGTAAGAATGCCAATTGGCCGGATGCAATCCAGTTTTATTAACAAGCGTGATTGAGGAGTTGAACTCGGGACTACCGAGAACAAATTCAGCTAGCGGTCAGGGCAAGACTTGAACTTGCAAGTCCAGCGCTCTAACCGCTCGGCCACGCAGCGTCCACAAACTCTCTAAGCTGGTCTCGTATCTGCCTGAATAGATTGATGATGGCAGTGGTATGAAGAAAGAGTGCTCGGTCGAGGACCTGGTCAAAGTTATTGAAGAACTGACGAGAATCCATTAAGAAAACGTTATTCTGTGTTAAACTTCAACACCAGAGGCATTTGAAATCGGATTACATGCAAGTGAGCCTCAAATCCGTTAACCTTTACAATGTAAATACGTGACTAAGCTTTGACGGGTAACGCCCACCCTAACTTTAAGTGTTATTCTTAATATTTAAGGTATACATTTACTCGCGTCTTAAAGAACACGCATTACTTGGAGGCAATTTCGCGATGTATGTTACTTCAGGCTTAAGCGCGCCTTCATGCAGTTCTTCTTTAACGCCGAACTGTATAAAAGTAGATTTACGCTTTCGCGTAATTTTTATGTGCGTAAATAAAATAGAGGCAATGTATGAAAAGGTCAGACCTAAGCGTAAAACTTGAATCAAGGTGGATTTCCACTGACAAGTATTTTTCACGTGCGTAAGCACGTATATTTTACGCGCGTATATAAAATAGAGGCAAAATATGAAGTGTCGCGCGTAAACGTAAAATTTGAGCGAGGTTCAGTTTTTACGTTTACGCGCGAACGTACGTAAAAATTACGCGACAATGGAAATCCACCCTCACGCTCAAAGCGTACATCTACACGTGACCTTCTTTATTTACGCGCGTAAAATTTACGTGCGCACTCACGTAAATATAACGCAACAGTGGAAATCCAGCTTTACACGCGGCCTTTCATGCGTTGCGTTTGTTTTAGTTAAGCGCGTAAAAATTGCGAGCGCACGTACTTAAAAATTGCGCGACAGTGGAAATGCTCTTTTACACGGCTGCAGCGTTTTGGGATTTCCTTTCGCCCTTTGACGTGTGTCCTGGTCCACGCGCCCGGCTTGTTGTGAGAGCGCGTGGCTACCTGCAACGGTTTTTGTTTTTGGGTCCGCGTGTGCCGTCCACGCTTTATAACTGAACTTACGCAACAGAACGGGAGAGGAAAGAAGACGGAAAACCTTGTGTGACAAGCGTGACAACAATTTTCTTTGACATAAGCTTCTGCCCAACTTCACCTTCTTTTAAACAAATCTTTTTGTGAAAGACCAGAAGATATGAAATAAATTGAAATATAAATATTAACAATAATATATCACGATAAAACGCGCAAGTAGTAGCTCTGTCACGTTTGTCACGCACACAAGCGTTTTGCTGTCCTCATGTTGCGTAGACTTACTATTTATTATTGTTTAACTACATTCTGTGTTGCATGAACTCTCAAAGTGTTTGTTTAAGGAAGCTGAAAAGTAATATGAAGGTTAATTTGCTTTAACAAAAAAATATTATGATAATCATTATAAAGATAATTATTATTGTATTTTGAACGTTTAAATACAATATGACGTTAGCCGCGCTTCTTCAAACGTTCCTAGTATAATATTACCTTAAATGTACAGAACATGTGATTCAACTTTGAGTGAAACTGTTAGTATAGGTAATAGCATGATTTGTAGTGATATGTGGCATAAATACCTCGACTGATATTTCGAAATTGTATAGGTAATTTCACGAGTCGTTAGGCGAGTGAAATTTGAGACAATTTTGAAATATAACGAGTGGTATTTATGCCAAATGTCACGTACAAATAAATCATGCTATTATTGTTTATACTACTGCCCGCAAAAGGTTTGTAATTTTCACATGTAGGTATTTCAAATTAGGCTGAAATACCACTGCTCTAAGCCAATTTCTCATGTAGTAGTATAAGGTGGGGAATATTTATCCGAACTTTACAGATTTTTTTTCTAGTTTTTAGATAAGCGGTTGTTTGTAAATTTAGCCTTGTAATCACTGTAAATTTCCGCGTGTAATTAATTGCTTTTAGTAACTTAACTTCACTTTTCTATTCTTTATTTCGATTTGTGTATTTGTTTATTAATTTTGTTGCTCAGCGGTATAATGAAATACTCTTATCCAACTGATTCACGATCTTGAGACCATAAAAAGCCTTTTAATAAGCCCCAATATTTACATACAATTCTTCAGACTGATCTTAATACATATCCCTCGCGATTTAGTTAAGGGTACCCAAATGCAAAAAAATGTATTACTGCATATTTTTTAATGTACCGTTTGAGTAATATATCAAAAACTCGTGCTTCGGGTTTCATCAGGGGTTCCAAACACCAAGAAACAATAAAAGCACGGGGCCGCAGGCCGAGTGCTTTCAACTGTTTCTCGGTGTTTGGAACCCCTGATGAAACCCTCGCACTCGTTTTTATATATTACTCAAAGCTTTCCCCTTTGGCTATCATTTCGTAAATTCTCGTAACCTATTCTCTTGATTATAAACTGATATTGAATTAACACCATTATTTCACTGCCCTACTATCGCATTGCGACAAAACTAGTCGCGACGCCTTGGAACGTACGTTCCCACAATCGGCTCCATAAGTCGGTGTTCATCTATCTGTCGACCACTGTAGACCACTTTGATTGATTTATTGATTGGTTGATGGATTGATGGATGGATGGATGGATGGATCGATCGATCGATCGATCGCCGGATCCACCGATTGATCGACTGATTGATGTATTATAATTAATTTAGCAATCTGTTTTTTTTTTTTCTGACTTGAAAGCAGTTCTTTAACGGACCAACCTCGGAGACCCAGGGGCAGATAGTGGGGGCGAGGGAAAGTCTAAACGGGCGGGAAAATAAGGCACGAAGGAAAGTAAGAACGGCGAGAAGTCGAGAAGAGCCCCTGGGGACAATGTCTTACCAGACCAGTTCCAAACGGTCGCCGCCGTCCTGGCTTCTGATTGGTGCCAGAAAACTTGTGTTTTTCTGCGTGGTTAGTCTTCGGTCTTACCGCCGCTGGCAAACCTTGACCAGACCATTCTGTAACAGGCCAGGGGCTCTTCTGGCCGTTCTTTACTTTTCTTTTGTGCCATATTTTTCCGTTTGTTTAGACTTTCCCTTACCCCCACTATCTGTCCCTGGGTCTCCGAGGATGTTAACGGACTTGCTTTCAAGCGCTTTTGTAAGAATTGTTTAGTTAATGAAGTTGTGTCACTAATGTTTCAATGGTATTACCTTAACACCCTTAAAACGCTTTCGAATCATCCACAAACCTGAAATAATGGTGCAGTGTTATTTGATATTGCGCTACAACTACACCCCAACTGTAAGTTTGTCTCTTTCCCTTTCCATGATCAGGATGCATGGAAACGGATTGCTACTTGAAAACATTGGGGCACCTTATTAAGTCCTGTGGTTTTGAAATTATGGTAAAAAAAAAGAACCTGTCATGCTTTGTTTTCCCTTTGGTAGAATCATTTGATATAACTTGTGTGAGTCCTAGCAGCATAACTCAAGTTTTTTGCTCAAGAATAATACAAATACAATCTGGTTCCATTCTTGATCTTATTTTCTTTGAGTGTTGAATCAATGAATCTATACTCTGCTTTTGTTGCGGGGTTGAACAGCATGAGTGCATTTGATCGGCTTCTGCATGGGTAGTTTTCCTTGTGAAGGGCCATTTTTCGTGAACGGTGAAAAATGGAACATAGCTGATCCACCAGGTACTTTATTGTGTCTGTGTCCTGAACACCCAATGTAACGTGTTCCCTTGGTACCCAGTACTCTTTGCTTTCTGAGCTTGCATGTACAATAATAAGCTCTGGAAGTTCAAATAATAAGTATTGTTTGAAGCCTGTGAAAATTATTGTTCTCTATTGCTTACTGAAGAAGCTATGTCACAAGGATGTTGCTGCTTTAGGTCAACTACGTGCTGAAGTCGTTACTTATTTCCTTTGCCCATACGAAAAACAGGAGAATACCCCCCTGTACACGTATGAAAATATCAAAGCGTTTGTTGGTGTTTTATCTTAAGTCAGGTCGTTGGACTTAGGTCTGCCGGTTTAAGGCTACTGAGACCTTTTTTTGTCATAAACATTTGCGTTTTTCGCGTACAATAACTCCACTGTCACAAACCTGTTGCCACCTGACTGCCCTCGAGCAAAGAAGCCAGAACTAAAAACCAAAGCATGTCTTATCGTTGATTTCTCTCTTCGTCTCCGTAGAAGACAAGAACATGTACAATGTCATTCTTTCACGCTGTAACTAAACGTGTGTTAGAGAAAACGCACCATTTCTGATGAACTACAATATTTGGCTTGCGATGTCTTGATTCGCCAATAATAGCGTACCTGTTGTTTACGTTAGTTCATAATGTCCAATTATGCCTCTTGACCAGCCATAAAGTGTACCTGCAGGCTGCACGACATCCTTGATTGAATTCATGACATTTAGTGTCGTAGATATACATTTTGTGTACTATCTTATTGTATTTAGTGTTTGATTATTAAACAAAGATAGAAAAACAAATGACTTCAATTAGGGTTGGGGTTTTAGCGAGAGAAGTTTGTCTCGCGGGTTGTTTCAGGTCATAATATTGCAATCCTGGAGCTTGCATCAAATTTGTTCTTCATTAAATCAGGAAAAATGAGCGAAAAAGAAAATTTAAAAATGAAAATTTTAAACGAGAAATACAACATAACGAGGTGATAAGAAAAACAACGGACCATAAGTTTTGAGCACCTTGCCTCCGGTTAATGAGGCCGGGTCCGCACTTCATATTCCAGTCCCGGTGATAATTAAGCTCAGGTCAAGCTACGCGTTTACACGGTTAACAGACTCAGGGGACTCGTGTGAACATAAGAAACTTAATTTGCAGCATGAGTTGAAACTGAGGATGATTATATGAATGTCATATGTTGGAACTGCGGAATGAAGAAACAAATCGGCTAAGAAGAACATCACAGTTGTTATAGACGCAACTTATGCAGCTGCGAAAAGAAAGCCTGAAAAAAATTCTGGCGTGCAAGTGTAGTAGACTACGACTTGAAAAAGTCGGACTGACGTGTTCAAGTTTTGACGATTGACGAAGTGTTTTGAAATAATCCCCAAAAAGTGTTAATGGGGCCGAACATTTCACTTTTCGGGGGGGGGGTGCATGAGTGAATGAGTGAATGAGTGATCTCAGAAAAGAATATCCTACCTACGGCCTGATAACGAGGGAAAGAATATCCTGCACTGAAAAAACTATATCTCATGGCGTATAATGCTGGAAAAAAAATCTTACACCGTTATATGTTGGGGAAAAAATTTCTGGCTCTAGAGGTTTGGAGAAAAAATATTCTTACCGAAAACCAAATCACCCATACCCCCCTCCCCCCCCGTTCCTCAAAAATAGGGAAATAGTGGACCCCTAAAAATGATGGTTTGTTCCTTCTTATGTCGCCCCATGTAAGGGAATCCGGATTCCGGAATCCAGGAATTTTGTGCTTGTGGAATCCGGAATCCTGGGCTTTGGAATCCGGAATCCAGCACTAGGGATCCGGAATCCTACTAAAGATTGGAATCCAGAATCCAACTTACTAAAGATCCACTCCTGATTGGATTGAGCTACTCGCTCGAAAGAAAAACCATCTATGGAAAGCCTCCCCAGGGTGTATGCCTCAACGTGATGACATACAGTGTAATATCGGCATGTCTGGTGTCAAAACCACAGTTGACGAGCTCCATATGAAAGGTCAAGGTCACGGTCAGCGAGGGAACCCTTGCTTCTGAGCGGCTGACAGGATCACAAAATTCGGGGGTTTTCGAGGGAATACAGCGCAGCCTTTTTAAGGTATAAATTGGATTGTTGTGAATAACTTCAACCTCTGGCTATGTTTGATTCTCTGTTGTTCACTCGCTTCGCTGAACTTAAAAAACCAAAAGCGATTTGACCTGGCATAGGACCGGAAAAGGTGCACCTGGGGTGAACCTTTTCTTGAACCTTCCTGGTCCTCTCCTGGTCCTCCTGGTTCACGATTGAAAATAAACGTCTACTTTCAACATTTTACCAAAAAAGAAAAAAAGAAATTCACAGTCTGCTAGTCCCTAATTTGGTCCTAGTAGTTTCGGTCAGAACAGTTTCATGGTTTCGATAATCTTTATTTGAGAAATAAGCTAGGTACTGTGAGA